CATATTGCAAATAAAGGTACAAAGTTAAATTAACTAGGATCATTAAAAACTAATAAATTAAAAAATTCTAATTTTATCACTAATGATCAAATAGAAACAAATAATTCCCCTCTGTTAAATTTATTCTAATATTATTTAAAATAAAAAATCCTCCAAAAGTTTTTTTTATTACAACTTTTGTTACATTATACTTAGCCAGGAAAATTGTCATAGTGTACTAATATTTTCATAAAAAACCTGCAATAATTGTGTTATATAAGTTTGTTATTAAATAAAGTTAAATTGTTAGCGAAACAATTGTCAAAATTAAATTAAAATAAATTTGTAAAACTCAAAAAACAGGGTTTGTTTTTTATCTAATTATACATTAGTGACATGGAGTTTCATTAAGTAAAGGTCGAAACAATAAAACGAAACAATATTCTTTTTTTAAATTAAAATATCTATTTGCACTTGCTGCTGGTGAGTTTGTGATTTTATCCTGGAATTAATAAAGGGAGAGGGCAGACACAATTTAATTTTATGAGAAATTTATGGGATTTAAATTTTTTCTGTTAAATCGTACTTAGGTTAAAGATGCGTATTACGACGCAAAATCGATTTAAATGCAAAAACCCATTAAGATTAGCAAGCAAATTGTCATTTTTTTTAACCTATACGTAATAGCTAGCGAGTGCGGAAAAGACACTTTCCTCAAGTACAATATTTTTTCTACAATCGTTAGGAAAATAAACTAGTTTTTGGTATTTTTTTAATATTGCAGGAAACGTAAAATTAAAAGTACAATTTAAAATTTAAACATATATTTTATTTCTTATTAAAAATATTTATGGTTAAAGAACAGTTACTTGCGTTTAAGTTTATGACTGAAGCTAACTGGTATAGAAATATTTTTGCCATATCAGAATTATTTACGTCTTTTGCAAGTTCAACATAAGGTGTCTGAAGCTGAAGCTGAATTACAGCTATGATCAAATAAATGATTGTCTTACATTTATTTGTGCAAACCTGCTTAAAATTAATTCAAACACAAGAAGTCATTGAATTAAATTGTGATTCTATTAAATCCGTTTTAAAACTTAGTTAGTTAAAACATAAGAAGTTATTGAATTAAATTGTTATTTAATTGAAGCCACAATGAATCTAAGCATACATTAAAGTTATGGTTTCTAATAAATGGCTACATTAAATGCAATTAAATCTCTAATTCCTTTAAATATGTTGTATATATTAGTTGTATAATAAATTAATATGAACTTTAAATAAAATTAATTCTGGAAACTGCTTCTGGTAGTCTTGTGCACACAGGTTTTTCGATCCATAAAATAAAATTGTTCTGTTTTCTGTAGGAATTATTAGGAATTAGAAGTATTGGTGATATTAGGCTCTAAGAAAGTTGCTAACACATAACACATTGCCGATGTGTGGTGTGGCAGGGGATGCCCTGGCGCGTTTGTCTGAATTTTAGCAATCATTAAATTGAATATAGGCCGGATTGAAAAAATAGGAATGATAATTTGGCAAATAACAAGTATTTTTCAAGACAATCCAAAATGGATGAGAATATCAAAACAAGTTAAATAGGCATTTTAATTTCAAGGTAGGACTAAATATCCTGTTAATTTCATATTTCTATATTGAAGTCAACATACTTATAAACTGGATGAAATAATGCGACTTTTTAATTTTTCAATACTTTTCTCCTTATGCCAAACGGGTCAATTGTAAGTTTTATTTTGTCTTTGGTATGTAAACTTAATATATGAAAAAAATTAGCTGTTCATATTAAACAGCCGAGACATCCCACGCATTTAAAAAACACGAAAAATTAGTAAAATACGGGTTTTTTCAGCACCGTGTAATTATTTAGAAATATTGATTGATTAAATTTATATTTTTTTTATAAAAACTAATATTTGTTAGCTTTAAAATGACATCTTAAAATTTAAAATATCTTTAATAGAAAAAAAATTACAGCTTAAATTACACTATGTAACAAAATTTGATTTTTGTTTTGTTTATTGGATTTTTTTGTTAAATTATCAATATTTGTGTGCCAAAAAACTATTCTAATTTAATTTAAAAAATGTAGTGATAAGTTTTTATTTTTTAAGGGGTATTTATATAATATAATCAAACCCAGTTTTATCAAAAATTCAAAAAAATATTGACAAGAAATGGCAAGAAATTCAACTCAGAATTATTATTTTAACAAAACATACAATCTAGAAAAATATTTTCTTAACATAGATTTTAAATATTGGCTCAAAAATGAATTTTAATACGACTTTTTCTTTTATATGATGCATTTTCTTCCCGAAGTAGATTCCAAACATAGTCACCCATCATTGTCGCATCCCACCTTCCTTGTTATCAATTTTCCATTGCCCGAATATCTTGATAGAATCTTTCTTCATGTTCTTCGCTGACATCTTCCAGACTTTCACGAAAAAAGTAAAGATGCGAATGCAAATAGTGTAGGTACTTTTAACGACATGCGGCATCCCATTTCTTTAAAACTTCCTAATAAAACTTTGACAAGGTCAGTATAATTCTCACCTCTTTTTTTTTACATGTTGTCCACAAAGAAAGTTTAATGGCCAAAATCTTACGTGAGGGATAGTGGGGGTCTACCACATCTCACCAAATCTCACCAAGGGGGAGGGAGGGGTCTAAATTATCAGAAAAATGCCTCATGAAATTAATGGATGTCCCCTAATGACACTCAAAGCCATCAACACGATCTGACGGCTGTCGTTGAAAATTTGACAGTTTGAAAAAAACAAATGTATGTTAAGTAATCGGGGGCATGGCCTACTACGATTTGTGTAATAAAATCCAGATAAACAAATATCATGTTACATAGTGTTATTAAAGTATAAAATGTTTTAATTCGAATGGGCCAGATTTGACACATGCGAAAAATTAAATAAGGGTGGATTTTGTCCTTTGAAACCCTAATGAAAATTTCTATATAATTTGAGCAAAATCCAAGATGGTCGAGCAACTAGTTTCGGCGTTTTCATTTGGATTGACTCAAAAAAAATCGACTCGGCCCTTGAGGTCAATAAAAAAATTGTTTAAATTTTTAAAAAGGGTCCAAGAGTCTAACGATAATTAAAATCTTAGACACTACCCTTTTATTATGGGTATTTAAAAGGTATTTAAAAGTACCGAGAAATTGTAATTTTAAACATCAAAAAGATTTTATTTTTTTAATGTTTTTTCCATATTTTTATAAAAAGTATTAAATGTTGTATCCTATTATTATTTTCTACTAAGGTGTGATATTTTTTAAACTATTATTACCCAAAACTGTTTGTATGGTTTTCAGGTTCCCTTGTAAACATTTTATAAGAGTAAATACGATGGCAAATAAAATTAATTCAGATTTATCAAACCTTTATGTGTGGCTATGTTATAATAGCCTGAGTCTCAATTTTCAAAAATCAAAGTTTATGATTATAGGTAAAAAAAGTAAACTTTTAAATCTAAATATAAATGTTCCAATATCAATCAATAACGTTCAATTAGAAAGGGTTTCTGAATTTAAGTATTTAGGTGTAAAAATAGATGAAAATCTTTCATTTAAAAATCATTTTGAATATGTCCACAAAAAAATGTCTCAAAAAGTTTATTTTTTCCAACGAGTCTGTAACAATCTAACAATGTTTACAAGAATCCTACTTTACAAATCAATTGTTAGCCCACATGTCGAATTCTGCTCATCACTATTTTTACACCTAAATAAACTACAAAAAATACAAAATAAAGCAATGCGCTCCATACTTAAATGTAATAAATACACATCAATTAAAAACATGGTTCAAGCCTTATGTTTATTGAGTGTTGAACAAATTGTATTGTTTGGGACATTTAATCTTATATATAAAATAAAACATAATATGGCACCTAAGTATTTATGCAATAAGGTATTCTTTATACGACAAATACATGAGCATAATACAAGAAATGTAAACGATTTTTTCATAAATATTGCAGGGTCAAAAAAAACAAAAAATTCATTTTTTTAAAGGATTAACTTTATTTAATAATTTGCCTAACACAGTAAAAAACTGTCAATATTTTAACACGTTTAAAACATTGTTAAAAAAACATATTTTAGAAAATAACGTTGGCCTATTTTGAAAGAAGAATGGATGTGTGTATGTGTATATGTAGATTAGGGTGTCCCAAAAAAAAAGAATATTTTTTTCTTCTCGTCTCTTGTGAAAATATGTTGGTTTGTCATGTTTTAAGAGCCCTGTCAAAAGACCAGCACAAATTAAAAAAATTTTAGGGGTCGCTCAAGATTTTTTAAAATTACCAAAATCGTCAAAAATTGGATTTTTTTTATTTTAATTTTTTTTCTCTTTCCGATATTATTATTTAATAATAATGATTCTGAAAATTTCAAATTGATATTTTAATTTCTAAAGGTCGCTCAAGATTTTTTTAACTTTCAAAGTAGAGTATTTTGAATGTTTTCGAGCGACCTCTGAATATAAATATCAACGAACTTTTAGCGACCTTTAGAAATCAAAATATTGATTTGAAATTTACAGAATTTTTATTATTTTCAACCTAAAAAATAATATCGAGACGAGAAAAAGAATTAAAATAAAACAAAAATTCAATTTTTGACCATTTTGAAAATTTTTAAAAATCTTGAGCGACCCCTACAAAATTTTTAATCGAGCTGATATTTTGAAAGGGCTCTTACAGCATGATAAACTAACAGATTTTTACAAGAGACAAGAAAAAAATATATATTCTTTTTTTTTGGGACACCCTAATGTAGATGGATAAAATATGTAAATAAGTGTATACCTAAATGATTTTTTTTTTGTATTTTGATATATTTTATGTACCTGAATTTTATCATATATTATTTAAGTTTTTAATATAATTATTGACTGTTTTATAATAGCTTTAGCTAAATAAACGTATTATTTATTTATTTTATTTATTTATACTTTTCACAAAAACGACTTTCTTACCCATTAAACTGTAGGCCACCGCGGGCGGCATGACGAAAATGCCCACCAGCCAATCGGCGACCGCCAACGACATGACGAAACAGTTGGTGACGGTCCTCAGCCTTCTGGTGGTCATCACGGCCAGTATGACCAGGGTGTTGCCGACGATGACGATGACGATCACGATGCTGAGCAGGCCGGCCAGGGCCAGCTTTTCGATGTGCTTGTTCGGGTGCTCGGGCGCAGTGTTGTTCGACACGGACGCGTCCGTGCTCGACACCGGCACGCTCATCTGATCCAGGCTGCTGCTTTCGTTCGTCATCACGTGTCATTTCTGGGAAGGAAAATAAATTGCATTTCTATATACACTATTATAAAAATCATATTTGTTAACATGAATTTGTAGTTTGTTAATTTTATTTTGTAAAATTTTAACATAATTTTTTGTAGAAAACAAGGGTTTGTAATTATTTTAACAAAGGAAAATATTTTACCAAAAGTTTTGTAAAGGTAATGTGCAATTTTGTAAGCATTTTGTTAATTTCAAAGGTAACAGATTATTTTGTTAATGTTAATGTTTTGTTAATTGGATTTCTATATAAAATCAACAAAAAAATATTTTGCTCAAACGGTCAAAATTGTAAATTATCTTTAACGTTTACCTAATATTATTTAGGAGACCCCTTAGAAACTAAAGTTGAAGTAACTTTGCTTTTTTAAAAATCATTGCTTTCACTGTTATCAAAATTTTATTTTGTGAAATTTTAACATAATTTTTTGTAGAAAACCTGGGTTTGTAATTATTTTAACAAAGGAAAATATTTTACCGAAAGTTTTGTAAAGGTAATGTGCAATTTTGTAAGCATTTTGTTAATTTCAAAGGTAACAAATTATTTTGTTAATGTTAATGTTTTGTTAATTGGATTTCTATATAAAATCAACAAAAAAATATTTTGCTCAAACAGTCAAAATCGTAAATTATCTTAAACGTTTACCTAATATTATTTAGGAGACCCCATAGAAACTAAAGTTGAAGTAACTTTGATTTTTTTTAAAATAATTGCTTTCACTGTTATCAAAATTTTATTTTGTAAAATTTTAACATAATTTTTTGTATAAAACCTGGGTTTGTAATTATTTTAATAAAGGAAAATATTTTACCGAAAGTTTTGTAAAGGTAATGTGCAATTTTGTAAGCATTTTGAAAATTTCAAAGGTATCAAATTATTTTGTTAATGTTAATGTTTTGTTAATTGGATTTCTATATAAAATCAACAAAAAAATATTTTGCTTAAACAGTCAAAATCGTAAATTATCTTAAACGTTTACCTAATATTATTTAGGAGACCCCTTAGAAACTAAAGTTGAAGTAACTTTGCTTTTTAATAAATCATTGCTTTCACTGTTATAAAAATTTTATTTTGTGAAATTTTAACATAATTTTTTGTAGAAAACCTGGGTTTGTAATTATTTTAACAAAGGAAAATATTTTACCGAAAGTTTTGTAAAGGTAATGTGCAATTTTGTAAGCATTTTGTTAATTTCAAAGGTAACAGATTATTTTGTTAATGTTAATGTTTTGTTAATTGGATTTCTATATAAAATCAACAAAAAAATATTTTGCTTAAACAGTCAAAATCGTAAATTATCTTAAACGTTTACCTAATATTATTTAGGAGACCCCTTAGAAACTAAAGTTGAAGTAACTTTGCTTTTTTAAAAATCATTGCTTTCACTGTTATCAAAATTTTATTTTGTAAAATTTTAACATAATTTTTTGTAGAAAACCTGGGTTTGTAATTATTTTAACAAAGGAAAATATTTTACCGAAAGTTTTGTAAAGGTAATGTGCAATTTTGTAAGCATTTTGTTAATTTCAAAGGTAACAAATTATTTTGTTAATGTTAATGTTTTGTTAATTGGATTTCTATATAAAATCAACAAAAAAATATTTTGCTTAAACAGTCAAAATCGTAAATTATCTTAAACGTTTACCTAATATTATTTAGGAGACCCCTTAGAAACTAAAGTTGAAGTAACTTTGCTTTTTTAAAAATCATTGCTTTCACTGTTATCAAAATTTTATTTTGTAAAATTTTAACATAATTTTTTGTAGAAAACCTGGGTTTGTAATTATTTTAACAAAGGAAAATATTTTACCGAAAGTTTTGTAAAGGTAATGTGCAATTTTGTAAGCATTTTGTTAATTTCAAAGGTAACAAATTATTTTGTTAATGTTAATGTTTTGTTAATTGGATTTCTATATAAAATCAACAAAAAAATATTTTGCTCAAACGGTCAAAATCGTAAATTATCCTAAACGTTTACCTAATATTATTTAGGAGACCCCTTAGAAACTAAAGTTGAAGTAACTTTGATTTTTTTTAAATCATTGCTTTCACTGTTATAAAAATTTTATTTTGTAAAATTTTAACATAATATTTTGTAGAAAACCTGGGTTTAAAATTATTTTAATAAAGGAAAATATATATATATATTTTACCGAAAGTTTTGTAAAGGTAATGTGCAATTTTGTAAGCATTTTGTTAATTTCAAAGGTAACAGATTATTTTGTTAATGTTAATGTTTTGTTAATTGGATTTCTATATAAAATCAACAAAAAAGTATTTTGCTCAAACGGTCAAAATCGTAAATTATCTTTAACGTTTACCTAATATTATTTAGGAGACCCCTTAGAAACTAAATTTGAAGTAACTTTGATTTTTTTTTAAATCATTGCTTTCACTGTTATAAATATTTTATTTTGTAAAATTTTAACATAATTTTTTTGTAGAAAACCTGGGTTTGTAATTATTTTAACAAAGGAAAATATTTTACCGAAAGTTTTGTAAAGGTAATGTGCAATTTTATAAGCATTTTGTTAATTTCAAAGGTAACATATTATTTTGTTAATTTTAATGTTTTGTTAATTGTATTTCTATATAAAATCAACAAAAATTATTTTGCTCTTACAGTCAAAATCGTAAATTATCTTAAACGTTTACCTAATATTATTTAGGAGACCCCTTAGAAACTAAAGTTGAAGTAACTTTTCTTTTTTTTTTAACATTGCTTTCACTGTTATAAAAATTTTATTTTGTAAAATTTTAACATATTTTTTTGTAGAAAACCTGGGTTTGTAATTATTTTAACAAAGGAAAATATTTTACCGAAAGTTTTGTAAAGGTAATGTGCAATTTTGTAAGCATTTTGTTAATTTCAAAGGTAACAGATTATTTTGTTAATGTTAATGTTTTGTTAATTGGATTTCTATATAAAATCAACAAAAAAATATTTTGCTCAAACGGTCAAAATCGTAAATTATCTTAAACGTTTACCTAATATTATTTAGGAGACCCCTTAGAAACTAAAGTTGAAGTAACTTTGATTTTTTTTAAATCATTGCTTTCACTGTTATAAAAACTTTATTTTGTAAAATTTTAACAAAATTTTTCATAGAAAACCTGGTTTTGTAATTATTTTAACAAAGGAAAATATTTTACCGAAAGTTTTGTAAAGGTAATGTGCAATTTTGTAAGCATTTTGTTAATTTCAAAGGTAACAGATTATTTTGTAAATGTTAATGTTTTGTTAATTGGATTTCTATATAAAATCAACAAAAAAATATTTTGCTCAAACAGTCAAAATCGTAAATTATCTTAAACGTTTACCTAATGTTTTGTTAGTTGGATTTCTATATAAAATCAACAAAAAATATTTTGCTTAAACAGTCAAAATCGTAAATTATCTTAAACGTTTACCTAATATTATTTAGGGGACCCCTTAGAAACTAAAGTTGAAGTAACTATGCTTTTTTTAAATCATTGCTTTCACTGTTATACAAATTTTATTTTGTAAAATTTTAACATAATTTTTTGTATAAAACCTGGGTTTGTAATTATTTTAACAAAGGAAAATATTTTACCGAAAGTTTTGTAAAGGTAATGTGCAATTTTGTAAGCATTTTGTTAATTTCAAAGGTAACAGATTATTTTGTTAATGTTAATGTTTTGTTAATTGGATTTCTATATAAAATCAACAACAAAATATTTTGCTCAAACGGTCAAAATCGTAAATTATCTTAAACGTTTACCTAATATTATTTAGGAGACCCCTTAGAAACTAAATTTGAAGTAACTTTGATTTTTTTTTTAAATCATTGCTTTCACTGTTATAAAAATTTTATTTTGTGAAATTTTAACATAATTTTTTGTAGAAAACCTGGGGTTGTAATTATTTTAACAAAGGAAAATATTTTACCGCAAGTTTTGTAAAGGTAATGTGCAATTTTATAAGCATTTTGTTAATTTCAAAGGTAACAGATTATTTTGTTAATGTTAATGTTTTGTTAATTGGATTTCTATATAAAATCAACAATAAAATATTTTGCTCAAACAGTCAAAATCGTAAATTATCTTAACCGTTTACCTAATATTATTTAGGAGACTCCTTAGAAACTAAAGTTGAAGTAACTTTTTTTTTTAAATCATTGCTTTCACTGTTATAAAACTTTTATTTTGTAAAATTTTTTAACATAATTTTTTGTATAAAACCTGGGTTTGTAATTATTTTAACAAAGGAAAATATTTTACCGAAAGTTTTGTAAAGGTAATGTGCAATTTTGTAAGCATTTTGTTAATTTCAAAGGTAACAGATTATTTTGTTAATGTTTTGTTAATTGGATTTCTATATAAAATTAACAACAAAATATTTTGCTCAAACGGTCAAAATCGTAAATTATCCTAAACGTTTACCTAATATTATTTAGGATTCCCCTTAGAAACTAAAGTTGAAGTAACTTTGCTTTTTTATAAATCATTGCTTTCACTGTTATAAAAATTTTATTTTGTGAAATTTTAATATAATTTTTTGTAGAAAACCTGGGGTTGTAATTATTTTAACAAAGGAAAATATTTGTAAAGGTAATATGCAATTTTGTAAGCATTTTGTTAATTTCAAAAGTAACAGATTATTTTGTTAATATTTTGTTAATTGGATTTCTATATAAAATCAACAACAAAATATTTTGCTCAAACGGTCAAAATCGTAAATTATCTTAAACGTTTACCTAATATTATTTAGGAGACCAATTAGAAACTAAAGTTGAAGTAAATTTGCTTTTTTTTAAATCATTGCTTTCCCTGTTATAAAAATTTTATTTTGTGAAATTTTAACATAATTTTTTGTAGAAAACCTGGGGTTGTAATTATTTTAACAAAGGAAAATATTTTACCGAAAGTTTTGTAAAGGTAATGTGCAATTTTGTAAGCATTTTGTTAATTTCAAAGGTAACAGATTATTTTGTTAATGTTAATGTTTTGTTAATTGGATTTC